TGCTACTAAATAAACTTATTCTTAACCAAAAAATATATATAATACTTAAATATTAAACTAAAAACTTTTAAAACTATTGAGAAACGGCTATCTGGCCCTTTTTCTTACACTTCTCTTAATAACTCTAAAACAGCTATCTAAACACACTCTCTGAACTTAGAAAAACTTAAAGAGCTCATCATTCCCGTCATAACAAGCTAAATTTTAAGCTTGTAGACCTGAAACTGACGGAAATACACTTGAAAAACCTCCCAAACTCCTCTAGGTTTTTCTCTTTTTTTCTTTAAGGTTCCTTTTTACAAAAAACTCTATAGACGTTTCTCATGCAATGCTAGCTATTTTTAGACCATACTACCCACGTTTTTAACTACTCAAAATTATTGGTTCTTTACAAATTACACCAATCTCATTCTAATTTTTAATTTAAATTTAATACTTACAAAAGAGGAAATATTTAACTAACACGAATATTAGTTTGCACCTATTAAATTACAGTTACACAACACAACTTGTGCCATATTAGCCACACTAGCCACTGTTACACAAGTCACAGTTACACAAGCCATAGTATCTAGAAAGTTCTATAGCATAATATTACACAAAACAAAATTTGTATCACTGTGAATCTAATCACAAGCTCTTTTTGAATTAACTAATATTATCACTCAATGATGCTTACCCTTAGCAATACCTTACCCGATACAGTCGATTTAGATGCTTTTTTTAGTCAATACCCTAATCGCTTCAGCATTTGGGTATATGATGAAAAACCTCTCACCAGCAGACCTATTCCACCTAATCTCAAACCAGCTCAATGTTTCACACATTTATATAAAAATGAGAAAGCTACACACTTCTTTAAAGCACCAAATACCACTGCCGAAGTTTTCTGTCTCTGCAATAAATATCATACACAATTTATCTTAGCAAACAATACAACTTACAATCTAAACAATGAAAACCTAACCGAAGTAAACTCTAACAGTGGCCGCAAAAACATGTCTAAGAAACTTCAACAAACTACCAAATTCGTTCCTCCTTCTCCTTCAAAACAAGTAACCTTAACCCCTTGCTCTCACCCATGTATTAAATGCCAACTACTTATCAATTGCAACTTTGACTCACAAGAAAACTGACACTACCTCCATGACAATACAATCTATTTCATGGATAATATTTATTACAAATTATGCTTACTCTCTAATGACATTCTCCAACCACTTACACCAACCTCTCACCAAACAACCTCTAATAAAACTTTACAATTCAAACAAAACCTGGCATCCTCATTCGCTAACCAAACATCATCCAATCAACAAGCATCTCAATCCTCCACTCCCACCACTCAATCTCATCACCAAACCTCCCAACAAGTTCTCTTAACTATCAACCCTCCCTATACTTCCTCAACCCTACCTAACATTCCTACCTCTCTCACTCTTTCCCAAACCCCTATTCCACCTACTTCTGAATCCCAATTATCTTTTTCTTCTATTTCTTCTCTTGTCTCTAATGTTATTAAATTTACTACTTTACAAAATACTTTTAACCAAAACACATTAAGCCAATCTTCACCCACATCACCCCCTGCAATCAACCTACAACAACCATTATTTACCTCTTCAAACTCCCCACCCAGTACTAATACTATAGATATCGATTCTCCAATTCAAATCAACACCTCTTCTTCAATACCTACACTTTCTAATCAATCTATCTCTCACTACATTCCCCTACTAATCAACCATTTTACTCAACAGTCACAGGACAACTTTCTACCTTACTAACCTCTCCAAAACCTTCCTATGCCCAAGCAACCCAGTCTAATACTACTATCCAAAACCAACCCAAACCTAGAACAAAACTCGAACCTACCTACGACTGGCTCTTTAACTTTCTTATTACTAAAGAAATGAAGCTCTATACAAAACTTCACACATCCTTTTCACAAGAACTCTACAATTTGCTTAAAAAACATCTCCATAACTTCTATCTAGGTTCTACTATCAAAACTTTATCTTCTAACAAACAACCATTTAAAGCAAGTTTTTATCACATTATCCACATTATGGCTGGTAAAAGACCTGATTTTTTGACCCAATACATCTTCCAAATCAACTCCTTTATCAACCAACAAGCAACTATACTATTTAACATTCTTGAAGATACTCTTAAAAAAATCATTTCCAAATTCACAACTATTCTCTTTACTAAACTTAACTATATTGAGATTTT